TACGTTCTCTTTCTTTCTTTCCTCTTTAATTGTTCGGTCCATCGAATCGTGCAATAAATTCTATGTCGGAACGATCGCGCAGCTGCGAACGAAACTTGTTAAAAGAATCTCGTGTAAAAAAATACTGTATTCTAAAAATCGCGTAATCGCGAAAGAACCGCGTAAAAAATACTGACGTGGGAAGAAGCACGCGCGTGCATTACGACATGTAAGCATCGTTCAGCGATAAAAACTTTCTAAAAGTGATAATAGCGTGCGATGAATGCGCGACTGATTAAACTCCCGATTTGTTTTCATAACATAAGCGTGCACGAGGCTCGTTCATCATGGAAGTTTTCGTTTGGCAGCAGCAGCAGCAGCAGCAGCGGGATCTATCCGCGGCAATCTCCGTGCGATTTTATCGTGGAAAATGACGGGGAAAAGAGTCTCGATCAAAGAGGCACGCTAACGTCCTCGCCGTAGAATGCACACACCGCCAGGCGCAGACCACAGAAGAATTTGTCTCACATAAAGGAGTAACGTTGCGGAAGGAATTAATGACCGCGGCAAATCGCTGAGGTCGCAAAGATGCTATAAACTTTAACCTTTATCTTGAAGGAAACTTTGCGTCCGTGAAGCGACGCGTAAAACGCTTAATCGAACGAACATAATTCTTGATTCGCATTACGTCAACGTTACGAACCGACGATAAATTGGCGCGCCTGGTCAATAGACATTTAAAACCGCCTCTGATATCGCAGCCATCAATTTCGCCCCTTCGAACGAATTTTCGTCGAGTCGATGGTATTTTCATACAATATGTCCTCTAAATAAATAAGTTAAAAGAATGAAACACCGAAATATTTCCACAAGCGAGTACAGTAATGTCTCTCTAATTGACGCTCAGATTGACCTCAAAAATGGACAATTTAGGAAGAGGAGATACGATTCATTTGAGTCTTGTCACTCGTTTTTATAATTACCGATTCTCAACAATTATAAAAACGAGGCGCAAGGCTCGAATAATCCTATCGCCTCTTCCCAAATTGTCCATTTTTGTGGGCAATCTGAGCGTCAATTAGGGAGACATTACTGTACAAGGCACGAATAATCCTATCGCCTCTTCCCAAATTGTCCATTTTTGTGGGCAATCTGAGCGTCAATTAGGGAGACATTACTGTACAAGGCACGAATAATCCTATCGCCTCTTCCCAAATTGTCCATTTTTGTATACAATCTGAGCATCAATTAGGGAGACATTATATTGTACCGTCGGAAGATACTGTACCGTTTAACGTTTAAATCGCGAGCAAATACATTATTTTACCATTTACCCGTGAATTTCATGTAGATACAATAATCATTTTACGATTCATTGAAAGGATTGCGTTCATCGAAAGATCCAAGGTTCTTCGGTGAACAAAGCGCGACGACAAATCAATCATGGAATACTATTCCTTTGTATAACCATTTTAAAGGAAAAATTTAATTTCAACTTCCAGTTCGAGAAACAAAAATTATTTATAATTATACGCTTGTATTTGGGTGGTCGATATGTTTCGTCGCACGCGTTAAGGTTTAAGATTATTAATTATTAACCAAGGTTCTTCGGTGGTGAACAAAGCGCGATGACAAATCAATCATGGAATACTATTCCTTTGTATAACCATTTTAAAGGAAAAATTTAATTTCAACTTCGAGTTCGAGAAACAAAAATTATTTATAATTATACGCTTGTATTTGGATGGTCGATGTTTCGTCGCACGCGTTAAGGTTTAAGATTATTAATTATTAACCAAGGTTCTTCGGTGGTGAACAAAGCGCGACGACAAATCAATCGTGGAATACTGTTCCTTTGTATAACCATTTTAAAGGAAAAATTTAATTTCAACTTCTCTCGGGTTCGAGAAACAAAAATTATTTATAATTATACGCTTGTATTTGGGTGGTCGATATGTTTCGTCGCACGCGTTAAGGTTTAAGATTATTAATTTTATTATTCGATACAATTTATTTAGATCCATATGTATAAATGATAAGTAATAATTTTTGTCTTTTAATTCAACTTCCAGGTAACGCGTCAGTTTTTATTTAAATAATCATTTAAACGAAAATTTACTGAAACGATGACCAATTCTAAATGTGGCACGCACGGTAATTGCGCATTCCCCGTCACGGTGTCAGGACGCAAAATGCAACGTCCGAACACCCGGTACGTTGGAGAAACACGGGCGCGCACGTAACCAGGTTCTGACCTACTGACACGATCCAGTGACGTCACGGGAAGGCACGGGAAGGCACGGGAGTTAGGAAAGAGCGAAAAGACTATAGTCTGCTTCTAGCTGACCCATCCTGAGCTCTGAGGGGATTGTTTCTTCTGAGCTAAAGGACGTATCAAACTTTCGTTTCAGCTCGACGCGACGACGCGACGCAACCGAACCAACAAATTAACGAAGATTACAATTCGTTGAAGCCGTGAACCAACGGATCGAAACAGGCGCTTGCTAATTTTTTAGTATAAGATTCCACGGATCCACCTTCGCTTCCTTTTCGTGCTTTTTAGTTGTATCGATCTTTAGTCAGCGTAAGCCTGTTATTATTATTACTTATCATTTATACATATGGATCTAAATAAATTGTATCGAATAATAAAATTAATAATCTTAAACCTTGACGCGTGCGACGAAACATATCGACCACCCAAATACAAGCGTATAATTATAAATAATTTTTGTTTCTCGAATCCGAGAGAAGTTGAAATTAAATTTTTCCTTTAAAATGGTTATACAAAGGAACAGTATTCCACGATTGATTTGTCATCGCGCTTTGTTCACCACCGAAGAGAAATAATCTTTGCGACGCTGATATTCGTTTATAGATCGCGGCATTCGTTGATAGATCGTGTCGATCGTTCGTCGAAAATCGTGCACGTAGATCTTCGATTTGACGAACAGCTCTGTGCAGGATCAATTGATGATTTGCCTCAACAGTGGCGTAATTCGTACATCACGATTATTATGGACAGCATGTTTAATGAGAAATTCGACAACAGGCTTTTACCGATGTTCATGAAAATTCGTTCATTGAATTCTCGGTATCGACGTCGTATTAACATTGTTAATTCATGTTATCGAAGCTGCGGTACGATCGCAACGTGCATGATTTAGTGCGTAAACAACAGACTGCATTGATATAGAACGAAACCTTTTTTTTTTTAGTGAAAATATTACTAGGCTTTATGGTGTCATCGATGACTTATTTGACTTTTGCGATAATTTCTGAGTTTCTCTAGCAACATTCTACACATTGGCGTGAAACACGTTGTGCATTGTTACTTTCCAGAAGTGCGATAGAAGTTTTGATGCGTTTATAATGTATGTGGGTTACTGTACAACAGATTGATGCAATAACATCTCCTCTCTTCAATGGAAACATGATTGCGTACATGATTTATGACTTTCCAGCAACATTCTATGTATTGGCCTGAAACTCGCCTGTGTATTGTTACTTTCTAGAAATTCGATAGGAGTTTCGATGCGTTCAGAACGTATGTGGGTTACTATACAAACAGATTAATGCAACGACGCCCTTCCTTCTTTAGCGAAAATGTAGAAAAATGTATGATTTTCTAACAACATTCTACATATTTCCATATTGTTACTTTCTGGCAGAGTTGAGTTAAATTTTATTCGAATATCGGATAAGAAATAAAGACTAACGAATAAAATTTGATTCAACACTGTACAAAAAAATATGCAATGGAATAAACAATTATCCGTATAAGATTCAAACGATATTATTCATTTAACGATTTATTCATTTGAATAAAAATGATAGAATATAAAGTGCTTTTTCATAGTTTATCATCGATTTATTTCTTTTCGATTTATTTCTCACGTATTCTTTTTTACAATTAACTTTTATTCAAACGTTTCATTGACAAGTTTGTTGCATTTGAGTCGATCGATCATTCACGCATAACTAAATAACGTTTTTACGACGGAGGAAGGCGTCGGCAATTTTATAGTTCTACGAGCAGTTGAAATTGAACCGATCCTGAACAGATCATTCGTATAAATGTATTCTTATAAAATTACGTAAATCCAGAAACGGTCAACAATTATTTGCATTATTACTCGAATGATTTAACAATCGCTATACAACAAATTCATTCGAATAAATACAGAGAACAATTTATGCTACGAATAATGAATAAACAATTGTTATTCGATTTACTCGTTTCCGTCGAAAGCTCACAATTACCTAGGAACGCTATAAAACTTCAAATTTTCGAGAATCGATCGATCGTTTCTTTGAGATCGACGAACGTCAAGCGGGCAGCCACAGGCTTCGCAATCCTTTGTCTAAATTCTTTCCCCCCGGCACTCTTCGTATGTCATTTTAACCGACCTTTTTTATACCATATCTACACAATTTTTCTACAAGATTTTACAGCGTGGAAAACCGCGATTCTCTGTTCGCGGGGATCGCCGTCGAGGGAAATTCACGGTGGAAGGATATGAAAAACCGTCGCCCCGCTAACAAACGTGTCACCGACTGCCAGTGCGACGAGATACCTGACCATTTTGTTGGTTAGCAGTGGTATGCATCGTTCGGATGAACATTACACAAAAAAGTCGCTCGTACGAATCCGCCCAGCTAAAATAGTACTCGAAAGGTTACGTTAAGCGGGAACAATGAACCAGAAATTCTTATAACGTGTATCTTAACCTTGTTGCTTCGTAACGTAAAATTATGCTGGACTAATTTTTCCATATATTTATGTTCATTAAGAAATGAAACAAATATAAACTCCGCAAATACTTGTTTGGTAAACAACTAACATGGTTACATAGTTATTCCGTATTGTGTTATATAGTTTTTCTGTATCGTTCGAACAACTTGTCGACTGTTTATTACAATGAATATATTAACTATTCGGATTTTCAATGTGTCTATCGTTGATCAGAAGACGCAACATCGACGAGGAAGGAGGACAATTCCCGTGTGATCCTCCACCGCCACGAGGACCACGGCCGTGCACGTTCTCCAGTGCATAGGCAGTGGACGCGAAACACCGCGGTGGAGATCCAGGAGGAAGTCCAGGTGGAAAGTTGGAGAGGTTCGAGACACGTCGAGGTATACATTTTGCTTTCTAACACGTTGACCGCCGTGTCATCCATATTGTAGTAGTTCCAGACAGTTTCCGTGCATTAAAATTGTAACTTTCGTCAAACGTTTGATATTGAAACTGTTAGAATTTCGTAAAAAAACAGTCATATTTTTGTTACGAGCCGAGGGCCAGGCAGCTTTGCGTGGCCGGAGGTTGGATGCGATTGGGATTTTTTTAAGGGAGATTCGTGGATCAGCCGATGCTTATTTCGGCACGGGTGGTTATCTAGAGATCGGAATAGGATGCGTAGACCAGCCAATGCTTATTTCGGCACGGGTGGCTACCTTGAGATCGGGATAGGGTGCATAGGACCAGCCAATTCTTATTTCGGCATGGGTGGCTACTTTGAGATCGGGATAGGATGCGTAGACCAGCCAATGTTTATTTCGGCACGGATGGCTACCTTGAGATCGGGATAGGGTGCGTAGACCAGCCAATGCTTATTTCGGTACGGGTGGCTACCTTGAGGTCGGGATAGGGTGCATAGAACAGCCAATGCTTATTTCGGTACGGGTGGCTACTGTGAGATCGGGATAGGATGCGTAGACCAGCCAATTCTTATTTCGGCATGGGTGGCTACCTAGAGATCGGGATAGGGTGCGTAGACCAGCCAATGCTTATTTCGGCACGGGTGGCTACCTTGAGATCGGGATAGGGTGCGTAGACCATCCAGTGCTTATTTCGGCACAGATGGCTACCTTGAGGTCGGGATAGGGTGCATAGACCAGTCAATGCTTATTTCGGTACGGGTGGCTACCTTTAAGGTTAGGATGAGGTGCGTAGACCAGCCAATGGTTATTTTGGCACAGGTGGCTACCTTGAGGTCGGGATAGGGTGCGTAGACCAGCCAATGCTTATTTCGGCACGGATGGCTACTTTGAGATCGGGATAGGGTGCGTAGACCATCCAATGCTTATTTCGGCATGGGTGGCTACCTTGAGATCGGGATAGGGTGCGTAGACCATCCAGTGCTTATTTCGGCACAGATGGCTACCTTGAGGTCGGGATAGGGTGCATAGACCAGTCAATGCTTATTTCGGTACGGGTGGCTACCTTTAAGGTTAGGATGAGGTGCGTAGACCAGCCAATGGTTATTTTGGCACAGGTGGCTACCTTGAGGTCGGGATAGGGTGCGTAGACCAGCCAATGCTTATTTCGACACGGGTGGCTACCTTAAGATCAGGATAGGATTTGGGGAAATTGGAGTTAGGTTAAGAAAAAATTGAAGATATACCTCGAGCGGTAAAGATACATTCCTATGGGTTGTACCAACTACTGCTTCGAAGTAGGAAATGGAAATAATTGAATTTTGTAACCAAAGTAACTGGTAATAGCTAGTATATTACAAGTTTTAGTTTTACTACAAATGTATCTGAATAAGTGTTTCGCGGACTCTATCGCGCACTCAGTTTATCGTACTGAATCAGCGGGGGCTTTAATCTGGTATCTATTACCTACTCGATTGTTTTGCTCGAAGGAGAATTAAAACTCGATCTCGCTAGAGTCGCTTCTGGTCGCGTTTGAGCCCTTTATATACCCAGATTTTCTTTGGGAAATGGTAGTGGGGGTGTTCCTATGTGGTTCGATACCAGAACGTTCGTCGTCGTACCCCTTGAAGGTACTTGACTCGCGATATACAAATGAACCCCCGTCTGGCTGGTGCCAGCCTGGCGCATGCCTTCAAGAAGGAGTATAAAAAATTCGTGGGAAAATTCTCCGTACGTTACATGATCAATATTTTGCAAGTAAGCCTCAACAATCTTGGAAAGACGGCCTAATGAGGCTTCCTGAAAGATGGAAGAAGGTAATGGAGCAGAATGGTTCATATATAACTCAATAAATCAACCTTAAACGACAATTATCGTGTAATCATTTCGCATCAGAGAAAAGGAAAGAACTTATGGGACACCCTATATTTAGCTGAAGACGGTGGCAGAGATTGACTGTAGGTTACATCGAGAATGAGCGAAATAGAATGAGCTCGAACGGTCAGCATATAACAGCGATGAGTGCGAGTGAGAGAGGAAGGATAGCATGAAAACGTAAACACGCTTCGCTCTTTCTCTTTTCTCGCATCCCCACTCCGCTAAGACGCATGCCCGTAGCTTTGCCCTTAGTCCATGGCTTTGCCCTTGCTCGCCGCCAGGCCTTTTGGACAGCTCTGGTCAAAATTGTGACAGAAGATGGTCGATGCATGTGTGAATAATAACCTAACGTACGCCAACGTAGAGTTAATTGCAAAATACAGCAATATCTCCCTAATTAACGCTGAGATTGTGCACAAAAATGGACAATTTGGGAAGAGGAGATACGATTATTCGAGCCTTGTAGCTCGTTTTTATAGTTGTTAACAATCGATAACCATAAAAAACAAGTCATAAGGCTCGAAAAATCGTATCTCCTCTTCCAAAATTATCCATTTTTTTTGTGAACAATCTGAGCGTCAATTAGAGAGACATTACCCTACTTCAGAGCTACAGTAATGTCTCTCTGATTGAGATTGACCACAAAAATGGACAATTTGGGAAGAGGAGATATTATTTATTATTCGAGCCTTGCGGTTTATTTTTATACTTATAAATTGTCCACAATTATAAAAATGAGCCGCAAAGCTCGAATAATCGTATCTCCTCTTATCCATTTTAGTGGACAATCTGAGGGTCAGTAAGGGAGACATTACTGTACATCGTTAAAGGAAAGCGGAACTGAAAAACACAGGAAGAAACGCTCAAGCTGCGAGATAAAATTTTAGCGTTGCGAATACCGGTCGACTTTCGTTAGACACATTTTTTTTTCATCGAAGATGAGAAGAGTTCAGAGACGAGGGCACTTATTGCTTGACTGCTCACCCAGTCGTCGAGACAGTGTGGTGGCATCTATTTGTTGAAATTATTCTACATGCAAAGGTTGCACGAGGTTGCACCTAAACATGACATTCACTTCTCAGCAAGTTGTTTAAGTTTTTATATAAAGACGGTTTGATACCTGCAACCCTTTACAGTTTTTTAAAAAACTCTCCTTAAGGTTTGAATCGTTATAAATTTGACGCCATTTGTAAATTGGTTAAAAAATGATTAAAACTCGATTCAAGTGCACCAGCTAATATACACAAAGAATCGTCATTAAGACCTGTTCTCTAATATTCTACATGTAACCGGTGTGTAAAACGTTTAAGTTTACTTCGAATTTTATGATCTTGTATTTAGAACGCCGTGTCTCAGCACAGAACTGTCCTCAAAACGAATTATACATATTTTGGACGTGGGAGCTTTTTAACAAAAGAATTTATTTTACTAAACTTTATTTTTTCAACTCGAAAGATTTAATTTTGGACAGAGAAAGCGAATTCCCATTCGTTCGGCACCGGTGAACGACTCGCAATCGCGTCCGAAATGAAAAAAAAAACCGAGAAGACCATTTTCTGCGACACTTTTAACTGGAGAAGTTGAAAGGCACACCCATAGGCGGAAAGTTTCAGGATGGAGATGAAAATAGTGGGGAACGACTCGAGCTTCCGAGGCACATTCATGACACAGTTTTATAGCTTTGATCGAGCAGCGGCGTTCATTCGAAATATTTAAGCACGCGTGCATATGTAGCAAAGCACTTTTACGGGAATGCATGTCACTTATAGGAATATGATGAGTGCAAAAAGGGGCGCCTGTGTTCTATGAACGGTCTCGACACGAGAATGGGGCGCCCGAACGCGTTAAGATACGTTTCGAAATCGACGGAAACGAATGCTTCGCAACAATCCGTACAATTTTTTACAACATAATTCGTAATTTAATACAGAATCGATATTACAGCGATGGAGAAAAGTACATACAGTAATGTCTCCCTAACTGACGCTCAGATTGTGCACAAAAATGGACAATCACTACAGTGATAAATCTTCGACACGAATGATCGAATTCAAAGACCGTTTCGAGAGCGAATAACTATAAACACTCCCATGTTCTCGGTCAATTAATTCATTTAGTTCAACGTCTAACGTGTCAAATTATTTGTTATCTTATTTCAGGAAAGTATTTGAAATAATTTATTCGAATGAACTACAAAATGTAATCACTTTGTATATATCATTTGTGAAATGAAAATAATAAAATATTTGAAATAGAAAGAAATTATTTCAAATTACAGTAATGTCTCCCTAACTGACGCTAAGATTGTCCACAAAGATGGACAATTTGGGAAGAGGAGATACGATTATTTTAGCCTTGTAGCTTGTTTTTTTATAGTTGTTGACAATTCGTAACTATAAAAACGAATCGCAAGGCTCGAATAATCGAATCTTCTCTTCCCAAATTGTACATTTTTGAAGCGCCAATTAGAGAGACATTACCGTATTCAGACGAATTTAAAACGTTATAACGTTTTTGAAACTGGACCGAAAGACTTGAATTTTTTTGAGACGTTAGAGGGTCTAGTTTACTGTACAACGATTGAAATACGATTTGTTAATTCAAACATTTATTGTACCCAAAAAAAGTATAAAAAATACTCTTGCCTATCCGTTAATGAATGTTTTCCATTCTAACTCTTTGCAGTGTTAATTATTTATTTTGCCGATTTACACTAATAATGTCACAATTACATGGTACGTAAGAATAAATTTACTATTTCCCAACTGTTCCAAATAGATTGTAAAGTCACCAATGGAATATGATTGATTTACATGTAATATTATAACAAATTTTATAACGAAAAAGAACAAACACTTTGGACAACAAATAATAGTTAAACGTATACGCTTGGTCGCGAAAATATTCGAATACTTTATATAAAATGGAACAACTTTTTGAATGTTGAACCAAACGGCTCGTTTTATTTTTAGGTATTTAATGTGTAAAATACATTTTACAAGAATTGGTTGAAGTGACAAAAAAGGTGAAAACGTTTATTTCAACCTTTTCGTTCGAGTCTGTAACGAAAGTTTAAAAGAGACCTTTGAAAGGTCTCGCCAACTATGCGTATAGCAACTGTGTAATCGATTTCGGAGTCGAACGACGTAAAAATATAAATTCCGTCCGGCTATCCTTTATTTCACACAGAACGACGACAACGCGACGGAAGGTTAACAGCCCAGCTATCCGTGTGCAAATAAATCTCGCATATAAATAAAATTCTGGCCGGCGTTTCGCCGCTTTGCATCTGCGGCCCCGATATTCGTTGCCTTTGCCGCAACCTCTATTCCACTTTCACGTCAACTTCACCGCCACACAGTGAACTCTAAATAATCTCAATAACCCAATTCGCTTTATCGCCGTGGACGCGAAAAAGAGCCGGGTGTCGCGAGCCTGTAATCGGCGTGTACGAAATAAAACGCAAACGTGTTCCTCGAGAGCACCCTCCGGACGCGTCGTTTCCGCGTTAACGCCGCCCCGACGTTCCATTACCGTAGGATTATGCCGATTTATTCGAGCGCTCGAATTTCGAGTCGAGTAACGTCGTGTCGCGCGTCCGAATCGTCAATTTCACTGCGAAAGGTACAACGGTTTCTTCGCAAAAAATTCCCTCTAATAAAGATAAAAAAAAGAGAAAACACGCACTCCACGCTAGAGTACTCCGTTAACCGGTCAGCTGTGTTCGACGAGTATACTCGTCACGGAGAAGAGGCATTATTTTGTGTCATCGGCTATTTAAATTGTAATTTTGGTGAAAACAAAAACATATTTTCTAATTTCAAAATGTTTAGAATACTTTGAGGCCAGACCGGAATAAAATAAACAAATAAAAACTATGAATAATTATGTGAATAATTCACGATATTGGTGTTCGATGTGCAAAGTGCCATTGCGTATCGTACCTTGCTTCGCTGAATACCACTTTACAGCAGCAATTTCAATTTTTCACTTTTATAAGTATTTGATTTTTCCCGTGTTTTCGTTTATTATGTACGTAGTATATGTTGACGTTAAGCGAATAAGTAAACATTAGTAATAAAATTGTTAATTTTATCAAATAAAACCGTCTTTTTGATCCAATATTTTAACAGCGACACGTATAGGTGCGCGCATTGGAAAAAAGGCGGCGACACAGCTAACTGGTTAAAAGCCGCCGCGAAAATGGAAACACCGGACACTGATGTATCCAGATAAGATGCCGCGTTTATGCGCGTAATTTCTTATCGATTAACAGTCTACCCGCGTCTGGTACACAGGCCGGAGAACGGCGGCGATGCGCCATTTAAGGTGTTGCACACGGTTCCGAAACGATTGCCGCGCGTCTGCGACCTATCAGCCAATCAAGGAAGTCCCCGAACGTTTCTCTTGGCAATTTACCGATCCCGCGAAGGTTTCTTTCCGTTCTTATCGAGACGTGTCCCGCCGTGTCACGGCCGTCTCGACATCGGCCTGCCGCTGTTATCTGAAATGTATCTACCCGCTGCTACTTGACCTCCCCTGTACTTTCAGCTTTCCCGTCCGATCCGATATGAAATCTTCCACCCCCGAGGATGGAAGGTGTCCAGATTCGATTCTGTTCTCTGACCCTTTTTTCTCTCTCTGTCTCCCTTCAACCCCCCTCCCCCTCTCTTGCGACTCTCATTGTCCACGATCGCTCGCCGGTAAATATCAAGGAAGTTCGGTGGATCGATGAAGCGGCGGTCGAACGTGACGATTCAAAGGACCATGGCTGCACGAAAAAATTATTGTATTTATCGAAGAAAGTTTTGCGCGAATGCGTTAGCCGGTCGTCCGACATTATTTAGCCCCTTAACTGGATTAGGGTGGTGGCGACGGAGCCGCGCACGGACGCGTTAATAGTGAATCAAAATGACAGACTTTGTGCGTATTTTCAGAATTTAACGCACGAAGCTCATCATTATTTATCTGTGACATTATCTTCTGGTCCGAAACGTTTACCAATATTTCTAAGATGGCGAAATACAATAATAATAATAATTGCAATTTCCAAATGCTGCATGTTTGCAATAATAATAATAATTATGATTATAATAATATAATAATAATAATAATTATTATGATTATAATAATATAATAATAATAATTATTATTATTATAATAATATAATAATAATAATAATAATTATTATTATTATTATTGTAAACATGCAACATTTGGAAGCAATCGGGCAGCAGAAACGTGTAACGCAGTTGCATTAAAATTGAAACATTTTGATGATTTCGTTTCATTTTCAAATACAATAATAATAATAATAATAATTATTATTATTATTTCGCCATTTATTAGTCTTAATTATTAGTATTTCGCCATTTTAGAAATATTGATAAACGTTTTGGACCAGAAGATAATGTCACAGATAAATAATGACGAGCTTCGTGTGTTAAATTCTGAAAATACGCACAAAGTCCGTCATTTTGATTTACTAATAACAATAATAATAATTCTTATTATTATATTTGAAAATGAAACGAAATCATCAAAATGTCTCGATTTTAACGCAACCGCGTCACACGTTTCTGCTGCCCGATCGCTTCCAAATGTTGCATCCGCTTGACGCGTTAACCGCCCCGTTTTACGCCGCGCATAGAGAAGCAGACTCACTCGGTAGGCTGATCTTCACGACATACTCCAAGGTCATTGAAAGCCGCGAGGTCGACCCTCTTCCGCACAATTACCCAAGAGTTTCGCAACGAAATGCTTGATCATCGAGGTGTTTAAAGCGGTGTTTTCAGTCTTTTCTTTTTCCCCTGAAAAAGCTGTCACCTTTCGCCCAGCTTATCCCGACAGGAAAAAAGAAAAAAAAAAAAGAAAAAAACGCTTCGCGCACACAAGATTGGAGGACGGAAAAGTTCGACCCCGGGCTGTCCTCTGCACGGCCGAGATTCTTTATGGTCGAGAGCAGGGCAGTTTTCTACTCGTGAAAGCACGAACTCGTTACGCGGCCACGTAACGAAACGCAGCCGGCTCTTTCATCGCCGTCGACCGCTATTTGTCAAGCTCTCCTCGCTGGATAGGCCATTAACGTTCTTCCGTTTCCTTTCGCACAGGACCCACCCTTTGTTCTTATCTGCTTGGCTCGCGACAGACCGCGAATTCCAGCCGCGGTTAGCCGACCTAAATTATTAATCGGTATCGATCATCGGGAGCGTTTCCCTCGGCAACGCCGCGGCGATCCGATGGCCCCTCAAGCTTTTAAACTATGCACAATGTCACGTTTTCGCTTCCGTCAACAGCCACGTGCACCGCGCGCACCGCCGTTTCTATAGAGCCGTTTCAAGGCAAGGTCCCCCGTTTTCTCTTTCGCTCCGCGCTTCTCTCCTTTTTTCGCGGCGCGGCGTGGCGGAACCGGCACGCCCCGTCCCTTTCAATAAATTACGTTTTCCATCGAGCATTCGGTCTGTAGTTCCTTCGCGATGCCTCCTGCTCGGCCGTTCTTTCCATCCGGAATTGAGTTCCTGCGAGTTGGGAAGCCAATTTATTTCCTCGCCGACGCCGACGCGGCTACCGAGCGCGCCGTTCGTTTCGATTCCCGAGGATCGATACTTGTTGCGGACGCGCGCGATCTTCTCTTTTTCTTTTTTAGAATATTGGAGGATCTCGTTTACCGCTCGCGGAACTTGTTCCGCCGCTAAACGAGATTGTTGCTCCGCAACGGAATTTGACTCGCCGGGTTGAGCCGTAAAACTACGATCTCTTCCGCAGCATTTTCTTCCATGTTTTTCCTCTTTCTTTCTTCTTTCATTCGACGTTCAATGTCGCATCGCAACTGATTGGACTCACTGTGGATTTCTATGCATTTATTATTAGCAGAAATTAATTGTGTTACTGTTCTACGTTCGACACAACGAATTTTCTGGTTGTCGTAAGAAATCATTTCCTTCTGCAGAGTTTTATCAAAAAATTCACAAAAATCTGCAGTCCAGTCATTAGCGATCCTTTAGGCTGGTGGTTATGATTCTATATAGCGTAAGGTTATGTTATGCATTTATTATTAGCAGATATTAATTGTGTTACTGTTCTACGTTCGACACAACGAATTTTCTGGTTATCGTAAGAAATCATTTCCTTCTTCAGAGTTTTATCAAAAATTTCACAAAAATCTGCAGTCCAGTCATTAGCGATCCTTTAGAATGATGATTATGTTTCCATATAGCGCAAGGTTGTGTTATGCATTTATTATTAGCAGAAATTAATTGTGTTACTGTTCTACGTTCGACACAACGAATTTTCTGGTTATCGTAAGAAATCATTTCCTTCTTCAGAGTTTTATCAAAAATTTCACAAAAATCTGCAGTCCAGTCATTAGCGATCCTTTAGAATGATGATTATGTTTCTATATAGCGCGAGGTTATGTTATGTTTGGTTATAATCGGTCGGAATAACGATCAAAAGTAAGAAAGATACGTTTTTCAGCTTTTTTATTTCGAGCTGGTAACGAAAATTCGATAATCGTTTAACTAATTTCTAAAATACGTCTCAAGTATTTTTTGTCATTGAAACGCGCTCAGAAATAATTGCTTCGACGTAACCAGTAATCTTAATGCTTTTGCAACCGCGCCGAAAACCTAATGTCTAAAAATTTCTTTATTTTTCGTACCCAAGGTCGCACGAAGGTCATGGTATTATAGGTTATTAGATTCGTCTTGATCTTAGCTATCACGATATAATGATAGAAATATGTAATCCCATTTAAAAACACGTCGATGACCTTGAAATCTCGAAAAATATGACCTTCACAAAAAAATGATTTCTACCATAACACGTGTCCCTTCGAACCAAACAATTTGTTCCTCAAGCATTTCCGCGTATCGTTAACGATAATGGGGATATCGCTTTGTAACAGAGTTACTGAGACACCCTGTATTTAACCGAAATGCCTAACATTTAACCCGCGATCGTCCGACTAAACAGACCGAGCGACACGATTCGAAACAACCGGCCGCAGCTCCGACCGTGAAATTATTTTTCACGCGTGAAATCACCCTGACCTTTTCGTCCGGACACTGATCACGATCGTTTTCCCTTCCTCTGTGCCCAGGTTCAACTACCGTCTCGCAGTAAGTCATCGTTCACGGCCATTCTATGTTTCGACCAGTCGATCGACCCCTGAATTTCAGGCAGCGCGCCAACGAGTGGATCCGTAAGGTCAGTTCCAGCGGTAAAAACGCGTTCTCCACCCCCGCACCACGCGGGGGTCTAATGCGGAATTCCCCCTGTCGGAGATCTTTGCCAAATGGGTCAACCGTGGAGGGAACGGTGCGCATACCGGCGCGCATTGGCGCATGGTCAACCAAAACGCGGAGATAGTCCGTTTTCAAAAATTATCGCCGCAATTGAAACAGCTTGTATTAATATCGAATTGAACATTTGGGCTATGAATTAGTGGTACAATTTTTTTGGGTCGTTAGTTTATTTATAAAAGATCCGCTTGCTTCTGAAAGCGCCAATCGTCGAAAATTGATAATACCGTTTCATTAAAATAAAATATATATAATCGATATATAATCGATATATAATCGATATATATATATATATATATAATAAATTATAATAATATAAATATATATAATCGAATTATTAGTTGTTAAATTGTTGTTACTTGGTTTAACGCTTGTATATTCGATATCTGAATTTTATAATCATATTTTTGTTCACAAATGTTGTTGAAAAATAGATTCTACGTACATTCAATGTTCGTAGGTGTACTTATAGGGTGTGCATTTTTACTTGAGCATACGTAATATAACCTTTGATATGCCAGAAAAAAAAATGTGCGGATGAAAAATTACGTGATTTCGTAGAACGAATGTAAAGGTAGGGCAACGTTTCTTTTCGTGTTTCGAAGGTCAATGTCGATTTATTAAATGAAACGATATATTTCCATTAGCGCGATATTGCAGCTGACGAGAGACGAATGCATCATGACCTTGAAAACTCGATTTAAAATGGCCTTGACATAACGTCGGGCATAACGGAGGTATTACGTGTGCTCGAGATTATATGAACTCCGTGTGTATAATGTCTTCGAGTAAAATATCAAAAAGTCCAACGAAAGTATCTGATTTCGGTCAGAAAATATTTTTTATCGCTTTTGGGTGCCTCCCTAGCCCCACTATGCGGCGCGGCCAACGGGCAGCAAACGATATTCACGCTGCTCGGGGAGCCATAAAAGTCTGAACCCGGCCTAGTACCGTAATCTATACTGGCCCCTCTAAACGAATTATCGTGGATTTAAGGCCGAACAACCTTGAAAAAGCACGACGGTCACGGAATCGATGTCCCTCGCTGTCCCCCCATTTCACGACGCTCTGCCACCCTTCTTCGATCTCTGTCTCTTCACCTTCGCCTTTCTCGCGTACAGTAGCGGTCAGAAATTTAACCCTCTGTGTGTGGGCCGAATTTTTTTCTTAAATATAAAAAAATTTATGCAACAGAAAATCTATTATTATAACCTATATATGCTAATTAAAACAATATTTAACAGTTTAAACAATTATTATTATTACAACAATAATTAGATATAATATATAAGAATATATAATAATTATAATATAAATAAATAAATAAATAATATAAATATAATAATATAATAAATAAATAATATAAATATAATAATATAATAATATAATAATTATATATAATAATATATATATATATATATATATATATATATATATATATATATATAATAACAATTATTATTATTATATTACAATTGATTCAATTTGTAACTTTGAAGTAACAAGGACTTACAATGTTTCCACTTCTGTGCATAAATGCTTAAGCGTGAAATTCCATAAAACAGTTTCAATTTGGCGTTAAACATTGATGTTCGTTGCATTTGGAACTGGTTGCCAAATAGTTCTGTGTGGTCCTGAATTTTCCTCATCCGATGATAATTCGGTACTAAATTCATCGTCACTGTCGAGATAATATTTACGCGTCGTCTGGTAAATGCTTCTGGATGATCTTCATCGGACTCAGAATCTAATAAAGAATCTTCGGATCTGTAACCGCTCTCGCGTCTAATTCTAAAATTCCTCTTTTATTTTTATATGATTTTGTATCTATATTTTGGGTATTTGATGTATAAATTTGAAAGTAGAAGAAAGCACAACTATTATCCTAAATACACTGGAATCTACCACAATATCCCAATGTAACCTGAAAGTTACAAAACTGTATCATATACAAATAGTAACAAAATGATTATTGAAATGCAAATAAATAAATTATTATGTACGCTTTTTTTTTTATTTAGTAAACACCGACAAAAGCATAAATAATCTCAGTTGCACAAGATGGTCCCTTTGGTTTCTATCTGCAGACAACTTGCAAGGTATTTATTTTGACATTTCAGGTTGATGGTGCTGTCAACCGTCATCAACATTGTTATTGGTTATTTCAGAGGCATTATATAATTAAGACGTATACATCATCTTGCGAAAAAACTAAAACTATTTGGTAAAATGTGGATATATTAGCTTGTGACTTGAAAGTTACATGGGCCCATAGAGGGTTTAGACGACGAATGCGAATTTCAGATAAACGCATGTTGCATAGGGTAAAGGTTACATTATATAGCCTACATTATAAGTTATATTTACTCTATAACAATATAGGGTAAAAGCGCCTAATACGAGACCTATCTGTACATTAAAACGTATAATTTTCGAAATATTTTAAAAACTGAAATATGTATTCTTTTGCGATCTACAGTAATGTCTCCCTAATTGACACGCTCAGATTGCGCACAAAAATGGACAATTTTGATAGAGGAGATACGATTATTCGAGCCTTGCAGCTCGTTTTTATATAGTTGTTGACAATCGGTAACCATAAGAAACGAGCCACGAAGCTCGAACAATCGTATCTCCTCTTCCAAAATTGTCCATTTTTCGTGGACAATCCGAGCGTCAATTAGAGAGACATTACTGTACTCGGAAGGACAGGAAAAAAAGTCCGCTTCTTCGCATCGAGGGAAAACTAAAAGTATGGAAATTCACAGATTCGATAAATGTGTTTCTAATATAGTCTCTTCAGGAAATTGATATTTTTCGCCTTTTTACCTTGAACCCATTGTTCGCAATGTATGTTCGAAGAGCAGAGGCATGCGCGAAACAAACATTCATCGCAATAACTCTTGAGCAAAGATCTTTCATTTAAACAAAAACTCGCTCAAAATTACAGTCATTCTGTGTATCTCCTATGTTCTATAATAATTTTCTAATAGAAATAGGACATTTATTGCTTGTCCGCATATGTACTGCGAACCTTGAAATATTTGTAACAAAAGAATAAAATGTTATTTCAATATGGAAGAAATTGAAAACATTCGCGTTTAACGGATCACGTTTCGAATTCTTCACCGTAGCATCGTGTCACAAAATTTAACATGTTTGTTACAACTAGATCGTGCGGATTTTATGCATTCGTAGCAAAGACGATTAGGTATAATTTAAAGCAGTGGAAAGATTCAAACGAACTAAGAACGTTGATTGTATTAACTTCAACTGATTAGATTGATTAAAGATAGAAAAACGAAACTCGTGTTTGTCTCCTATCTGGATCGCAATTGATGCAGACAATTTTTATCTTGCATAAAGTTCTGCAATCTAGTTATAACATAATCACTTTTCGTATCTACTGTTTTATCTATTGTTTTAGCGCTAATGCTAGCAGAAAGGTCGAAATGGCACGGTTTCAACCGAAATCTCGTATCGTCAACGTTGTTCGGTTCCGTTCCGCGCAGAAACGCGAACGGGGTCGTTGTAAACGCTTGGTCTGTGTTCCAACTGCAATTTATTCGCTAATTGCTGCGCGGCGCTCCGGCACACAAGCGATACGATTTAACGAAAAATATAGTGGCCCGTCAACGGCAAATATTTCACACAGGTTTCCGCGATGCGACGCGGACGATCGTAAGTTCGCTTCGTTATCGCTCGACTAAAACTGCCGCTTCAATTAACGCCGTTGCAACGTTCACGCACGTGCCTCTCTTCTCCCCTCGACCCGAATCCAGCCTCTTCTTAATTGGCGAACTAGAACTCGTCACGGAAAACTAGAGAGCTGAAAGTATCGTCATTTAGCGTCCGGGCTTTTTTTAAACTTTTAATTTCTTCTTCTCTTCTTCTTCTTCTTCTGTCCGCACAGCGTGTGTACGAGAGCTTCGGTGGTTGATAAAAATGATTCTAAATCCGAAAATTAATTTCGAAGAAGTGCCGCCATTCTACGACGGTTCATAAAACCTACGGACATTAATTGTTTTTCAGATGTTATTTCTATGGTCGAGGGAACCAGCTGCGACACCAAAGGGCAGCCCCTGGTTGGCGTGGTTCGCAACAGCGTTCGTTCTATGGAGTTGCCGTCGGAGCGTCGCCAAAGCGATCCTGGCCATCTCCCCGCTAAGGTTGCTGAAGAAACGCAACCACTTTCCGATTACTAACGTAAAGAGCTCGTCGACCGCGACGCTGTCGAAGCACCACCATCACCATCAACGGTTGAAACTGGAGAATCCTATTTTGCAACGGAAACACAAGCACGGGATCAGACGGATGAAACGGTTCTGCAACGGCGACGGCCCGCACGTCACCAGTTCAACGACTGTCATCCAGATCCCGCAGATTCGTTACAGAGTGACCAGAAGCGGCAAGATCTACGGGAAATATCCCCACGAGGTTACCGTGCCGGCGAATGCCAGCCAAGGCAGCCATTAGACGCACGTTTTGTTTACTCGCAAACGGCGACTCGCGGCGCAAAGATCTTTTATGGAAATTCGCACGATTCTTCATTGGACAAACCGATAAATTTGTACGTGTCTTTCGCCTGCCTACGTCCAGGAGAAAGCTTTTTATCCGAGTCGACCCACTCGAATTTAACCGTTTCTAGAAATCTGTATACGTATCGATAGTATTTTTTTTTTTGTAGGAAAATTCGATTTCCATCTTCTACCATTTAGAAATTATTATTCGTCTTTTTGTAGGAAAATTCGATTTCGCTCTACTATTTTTTGGAAATTACTATCTGTTTTTTTTTTTGTAGGAAAATTCGATTTCGCTCTCCTACTTTTCAGAAATTATTATTCGTTCGTACGGACAAAAGCTTCTTTCGTTCTAAATTCATCGATTTACAATAATATTGTATAAACTGTATAAAATAAATAACGTGAATGGCGAAATTAGGACGACGGTTTTCCATTTATTGATATCATGGCAATTGTATAATATAATGCTGGATTAAAAAATATGTAACAGTATCGTTTGAATAGATAAAAATTTGCTAAGAGGATTGTTTCGTCAAAAATTTTTGTAAAACTACGTAGACAATGCAAAATTCTCGTGGATTTAACGGTGCGCGAATAACTGCTCGGATAATAAGGTTTCTTTTTCTAAAGCGCGAAGCAAACGAATCGTGCACGACAAATTTCTTAGGCGATACAATAAATTGTGCAAAGTTACATAAAAATCGGTGCTCGTCGAATTATACAGCGCCGAGAATTCTCTTCAAATTTCGCAACCAACGGCAACGATGTGAACCGCGGTGCCGCAATTTTGCCAGTCGAGGCCAACTGTATTTCTTGTGTGTAATGTATAAATACGTGATTGTTTTGTGGTTTTTAAATGTTTCTTTTTTTAGATTCAGATTAATGTATTTGTTAACAAGAAATTTCAACGACGAGAAAACCTTGGAAATATATGCTTTTAGGGAGAAATTGTGAACTGTTTTGCTTTAGTTGATTCGGAGAAACGCGAAGCCCTTTGTTGCTAGAAATTCGTTGTCGTTTCCCGATTTCGGCGGCCGGTATGATTTCGTACGTGATTTTCCAGTGCAATCGGTCGGAAAGTCTGTCTCGGTTTTAACACGTTCCATGCGCTTGGGTGAAGAAAAGGGTCGGTGGAAATGTGGAGAAAATTTCTGGGAGAATACGCCACACGCTCGAATTCACAGAAACTTCCCGCGATGCTTTTCTAATAACGGTTCGAATACGATCAGCTTGCAGTGGTATCGAAATCGTAAACAAAACTTTCATTCGCTTCAGCTATTTACTTTGTTTTCCATTAAATCCAACGATCGTTAAACGAAGATAGTACATTACGTACTACGTACGTTTTCATTATTAATCCATTTTATTATTTCAAATACAAAAATTGATGGAAATTAATATTTTAAATAATTTTTGGACGATGCATTTATCAAACTCTTAACACATTATCCGGACGTAAAGCATTTGATCAACGAGGATTGGTGCTGCTTTAATTAATTAGACAGACTCGAACAATAGTACATTATCAATAATATTAATTTTCTTTAACTAGAGTCGTTCATTAAAATATTCGGACTCCTTTTAAAACGGAATAGGTGTTTAAAAATTGGACCAAATCGCTAGAATTTCTGCAAAAATTGCAATTGATTGGAACGACAAAAGAAATGTTTTTAGGCTCGGATAAAAACGTTAAGAAACATCATCTTCTCAATTTTCTTGTTCTTCCAACCCAATTGCAATTTGCAATTGACATTACCTAGTGAACTAGATTCTCTAACGTTTAACAAACATTCGGTCGTGCAGACCACTTTTTAATATTCCGTTATTAAAAGGCATCCGAATATTTAATCTGGACAGTTGCATAAGATGACGGGGTTGAGCAAAATGAATCATTTGGGAATGTTAAAAAATTGAAGACACGTTTGGAAGAGAAGGAGCAGTTCTTTTAAATAATACATCGAACGTGTATACATAAGAAATGTTATACGTAGGGACCTCGTGCATCGGACCAGTACGTGACCCCATAAAAGACTCGGGACAGTTTGGCAAGAACCGTATCTTCCTGCTTCTTCCCGACGTCCTTGACACACTTTTTGGCGGCGAGGCCGTACAACGGCGACCTTCGCCGGGGTCACCAGCGTATCCGGAATCCACGGCTACTGCGAGCGTCGTTTTGGACTCCTGGTCTCTCTTCTCTCCTCTCAATGTTGGGACAGATCAATAAGCGTTCGGTGTGTTTCGACGGCTTAGGGCACTCTTACGCGTTGCAATACGATTCGCATCTTGCACCGGCGTCGGTTGATGAGCTGTTCCGATAGCGAGTCGTCCGCTGCTCGGAGCGACATTGGCGCCAGCCACGTCGAAGTTGCCATAAGACAACCCTTTCATCTCGAAATCGTAGCCTTAGGCGACCTCTTAACAGTGTACACAGCGGTATCAGCTTGGTAGTCACGTTTTTGCTATTTGGTCGTAGCATTCCATCCGCGTCGACGCTTAAACCAGCGTTCGAGCTGCTTTTCGAAAGAAAACATCGAAAATACCTCCGTAGCAAATCCTCTGCACAACTTTCTTTCGTAGCTACGTCGATTGCCTCTTCTTCGTAGCCTTAACCGGTTAGCCTTCTTTTCGGAGCGCGCAAGAATATACAGGGTGTCCCAAAAATGTCTAGTAATCCAGAAATGGCGGGTTCCTCGGATCATTTGAAGCAACTTCTTCCTTTACAAAAATTTTCTCCGAGGCACCGTTAACGAGTTATTCACGAAAAACAGTGACCAATAAGAATCGAGTACGGCTGACGCGAGGCGCTGACTCGGCGCGCCAGCTGAGCTGGGATTCGACCGCTCGACCGCTGGCGCCGTTGGCTTGGCCGCCTCGCGCCAGCTGAGCTGGGATTCGTCCGCTCGACCGCTGGCGCCGTTGGCTCGGCCGCCTCGCGTCAGCCGTACTCGATTCTTATTGGTCACTGTTATTCGTTAATAACTCGTTAACGGTGCCTCGGAGAAAATTTTTGCAAAGGAAGAAGTTGCTTCAAATGATCCGAGAAACCCGCCATTTCCAGATTGGGAGACATTTTTGGAACACTCTGTATGTGTCGCGAGAATCAAGCGATGACGAGTATACTCGTCAAACACAGCTAACTGGTTAACCGTTTGAGTCCCAAACAACGCGATCGCGCTGTTTAGATCTTGTGTCGCGATCAAACTTTAGTGACGCACGTACATCCCATAGCTGCTTTTTTTTTCTTTTTGTTTTGTTTGTCAATCTCGACGAGCGCTATCGCTTCGCGATCAATTAAGACAAGCGCTATCACGCTGTTCGGCATTTTTCGACCGTGTTTTCTGAATAATCGCTGGGACTCAAACGGTTAAAGTGAAGTGCCTCGAGTGAACCTAAGAGTGAAAATAAGGGTGATTTTCGGCAATTCTTTTTATAACGGGAAACATTGACGAAACTTTTCGTCGCTATCCGTACATATTCTTTTGTCATTTCAAGATACATAAATTTTCTTCTCGTTACACTTTTGCGAAGTTCGCTGATTACAGTTCGCTGTTGTAGACTGGAAAAACCATAAATCATGAAAACGTCAACTTTATTTAGTTTCTGCACACAGTACGGTAGTTACGTAAAAGATCACGATCAAAAATTCATTTCATTCATTTCATTCATTCCGTTCTTTTATGTACATACAATTAGAGATACGGATCTGGAAGATTCATTTCACACTGTATTACCTTCCAAGTGATTTCACGCAACGATTACGATCTACGTAAATTTACACGCGATTCCCCTATCCCGTAATTGCCACACGTTTTTATCGCAACAGAGTAATCTCCTGTTGGGGGCCAGTGTGGTAGTTATCAATATAAGATCAAGGGGCTGAGGTCAGGCACGATTGTTTAGTGGAAACGATACCGTTTATCTAAACAAGTTTTTAACAAGTTCTGCAAAGAAAGTACAAAATGCAACATTAGCCTAATCGACGGGAAGATCGAGGAAAAATCAGTTCGATACCTTGCACTGTTAAACACTCGTAGGTCGCGAACGTCTGTGCATTGCTCACAGTTTTCACTTGCGAACACTGACGATAAAACGAATATGTATACTACTTTCGTACCGTCGTGCTGTTTGATTTTATAAAATTTAATATCGTTTAAGTAACACTGCGATACGATCGATATATTCGGAAAAGAAAATTATTATTCGAAAAGAATCCAGTGAAACTACCAAATCTGGAACATTCGAAAAACCAAACACAGGAAAACGAAACGGACCTTAACCCTTAACTACTACATCCATTAAAACTTACGTAACTGCTTAATAGCGATGTTTATTGTGTTATTATCGATGTAAACGTGATAAATAAAAAATCGAAATCAATTATTCTTTGAACATCAATAACTTGGACAGTTCGATCGAATAGAAGCAAATGTATTAAAAATCTCTTTTTTCCATCATTTGTCTTATGATTATATTATCACCACGCATGAATAAGTAATTAGGTGCGGTTTCCCGGGCAGGCAATAGCGTTAAAAGCAGTTTGAGACGGCGCCATTTTACAGGATCAGAAATTTTGCTTAAAGATTAATTCCCGCTAGATTGCAAGACTAATAACTGTGCGCGTTTAAAGCGACGTGTGTACGTTTGGTAATAGGAGAACGTCGTCAATAGCAAAGGGTTGACGAGATTCGAACACGAAGTTCCTTGTAAATCGTCGGGAACGAGGAATTCTGCGATCGCGTACGTCGACGGAGCACCGTGTAACAATGAACTGCTGTACAAGTTTCTAATCAGAGATGTACCAATTTGAGCAGCATAATGGCCGCGGTACCAGAATCTGCGGACGTATCGGAAGCGCATACGTCGCCGTCGTCGTCGTCGTCAAGGAACGAAACGGTACGTACCGAATTTAATGACTGAGTACAGTAATGTCTCCCTAATTGACGCTCAGATTGTCCACAAAAAATGGACAATTTGAGAAGAGGCGATACGATTATTCGAGCCTTGCGCCTCGTTTTTATAAATGTTGAGAATCGGTAATTATAAAAACGTGGGGCAAGACTCAAATTAATCGTATCTCCTCTTCTCACACTGTCCATTTTTGTAGACAATCTGAGCGTCAATTAGGGAGACATTACTGTATTATGATCCGATCCATGCGGTTCATTTTTATAGTTCCGAATTGTCAATAACTATAAAAACGAGCTGCATGGCTCGAACAATTGTATCTCCTCTTCCCAAAGTGTCCATTTTTGTGCACAATCTGAGCATCAGTTAGGGAAATATTACTGTACAGTAATGTCTCCCTTGCTGACGCTCCGATTGTACACTAAAATGGATAATTTGCGAAGAGAAGATACGATTATTCGAGCCTTGCTGCTCGTTTTTATAATTGTGGGCAATTTATAACAATAAAAGTAAACTGCAAGGCACAAATAATCGTATCTCCTCTTCCCAAATTGCCCATTTTTTGTGGTCAATCTGAGCGTCAATTAGGGAGACATTATTGTATTATGATCCGATCCTTGCGGTTCATTTTTATAGTTCCGAATTGTCAATAACTATAAAAACGAGATGCAAGGCTCGAGCAATCGTATCTCCTCTTCCCAAATTGTCAATTTTTGTAGACAATCTGAGCGTCAATTAGGGAGACATTACTGTATTATGATCCGATCCATGCGGTTCATTTTTATAGTTCCGAATTGTCAATAACTATAAAAACGAGATGCAAGGCTCGAGCAATCGTATCTCCTCTTCCCAAATTGTCCATTTTTGTAGACAATCTGAGCGTCAATTAGGGAGACATTACTGTATTATGATCCGATCCATGCGGTTCATTTTTATAGTTCCGAATTGTCAATAACTATAAAAACGAGATGCAAGGCTCGAGCAATCGTATCTCCTCTTCCCAAATTGTCCATTTTTGTAGACAATCTGAGCGTCAATTAGGG